TGAAACCTCCGGTACTTGAATACAGTGGAAAAACGAATAAAGTGCGTTTTAATTTAAATGTGGCTCATGAAACTAAAGAAAACCCAGCGTCTTTTATGTCTAGAGCGAAGATTTTGAGGTTGATGTGAATATCCAACAAATGAGCTACAAACTGGCGTCATGTTATATAGTCAGTTATAGTTATAGCACAAATCATTGATTTTTCATTCATATTTCGGACAAGAAACATCAACGGTCTACTGCTCTGACAAAACTTGCTGTTATAAACAGCAGAAAAATACTTCACCTCATTTTTTTCGTAAAATTTGATTTCCTCAATGGTCGCTTAGATATATTTTTTTCTTTCAATCAGTTTTTATTTTAAAAGAAAATGTTAGGAAAATCATCGTCTAATAACAGCATCAAATCATCAACAACACTAGCAAATATATCGGATTGTACTAGTAGACAACAACAGTTGAAAGTTACATCATTAGTTTCAATTGATAACGCGTCACTAGTTCAAGAAGATAATGTGGACGATGGTGGAAGACGAATATCAAAAGACGTAAAACATCATTCAACTGGTAAAATTGTAACTGATTATACATATCACGATTGTTCACTAACAAAAATGTTATTGTTATATGCACAACTAGACGAAAAAGAGGAAATAATGAGAAATACAACGGGTATATGAGCAAACTTTGCAAAAAATCAGCACATTTCTAATGTTGATGAATGAATGCTTCAGGTACACCTCCGATTCTAACCAAAAACAATATATTGGATAATGTGTTAACTCTGTTAGAAATGCATTTTCAAACGCATGCTGATGAAGAACATCATATTTATTTTGAAGGTTTGTTTCAGATTCTTTACTCATTTCGTGATAATGTCACCGAGATACAAATTATTGAAACAATGCTGTTATTGAAATTAAATGTCAATTCACCAATATCATTTGAAACTTTTATCATGATTGTCTGTCATTTACCTAAATATCGTTCAGCAAAAACTCATTCATATTTAGATGTGTTTATTCAGTTGGATGCTAATCATGATTCCTATGTGACATACGATGATGTGTTGACTAGTCTGCCGAAATTGGCATTGGATTTGAATGAAGAATCGATTAAAACTGCAATACACATGTGCGATATTGATCATGATAATGATAAACTGAGTTATTTTGATTTTGTTACCAGTATGTTAGCATTACGATATTGCAAATTAATATTAACAAATAATAACGAAGAATAAAATAGTCGCATGCTTGATTTTGTGGAGTTAACAACCAGAAACCTGTACACGAACAGATGTAGACACTTTGTACTGGTAGCCTATTCTGAGATGTCGCTATCCAAAAAAATATTAGTCGAAGTCTTAGCAGAGATATGACATAAGAGATATCTCAGATAATATTCAGGCGTACGCATATATTATCGTTCAGAGGCATCTGATTCTTTCTCAGCCTTCTGGAATAAATTTATATATCAATAATGGTGCAGTGAAAAAACCATGCAATTTGCATCTAGTATATATTATTCCGCCATTCACTGGCATTGCATTTTTTAATAATCTCTATTTTATAATAACGTTTTAATTTTACTAAAATATATTCAAGTTTGGACTATTAAATTCATTCAAGAAGCAGAAGTAAGTATTGTGTATAAAGTGAAGTTCGGATAATACAAAGTTACAATTGTTTATGATGTTTTGAATCTAAAAGGCTTTTTACCGTATCAATTATTACATAATTTGACAACCTAATTTAAAAATATTATATTCGCCTCTGTCGATTAAAAAGTCTTTTTTTTCAAAATTTTCATACTGATAAGAAAATATTTTATTTTTCATCGTACAATTCATTGCCGTATTATTCCTGCATTCGAGAATTTTTAGGAAGTACAGTTAAGACATCATGTTATTTCTGCAGTTTTTCATCTCTCAATCTTCTACATACAAGATATAAACTAAACGGTGTGCATTACTACAGTATCTACAGATTCATTCCTTGTATTCATTTTTTTACATCTCTTGCAGAGCCGGTTATGAACCCGACTGAGCTTGAGTTTTAGATTCCTCTACTGTCAACTATTTAAGTCGAATCATTATTTAAGAATATGGTTAAAATAACCTTCAGAACTTTCCTGCCAAATGCTAGAAGAAGCTAAAAGAAGAAAGAAAAGATGATAAAAAAAAGAATTATATCTGTTGACTTTCGTTAGAAAACAGAAAAAGAAGTGACATCAGAAGAGAAAAAACACGCGTTGAAAAAAAACAAATGAAGAACACAAAAACAAAAATTTTCTTCTGTTTTACTACAAACGTGTTTTTTATAAAATCTATGTGCGCAGTTTACATTTGAAAACTAGTTCTAGATAGATATAGTTTATGGTGTGGTATAAGTGCTATCAACAGATTTTGTCTATCTTATCGGAAGCAATCGTACTTGCCTAACTTAATAAAATGTTTGAGCTGTTTTTAGAAAACCGTATGGGATATCAAAGTCAACGAGCTGATTCGATACTGACGAAATGATGTACACTAAAGAAAAAGACTCTCTTTTCACAATCAATAATTTATATTCAAACGGGTAGGAATGTACAATTCCAGTTGATTGGAATTGAACAGAATTGATTTCTGGAATTGGTGGTAAATCTTCCTTGAGACTAACTGGAGAGATGTATTGAATATCACACTGATGTAACAGGTTCTTCATATGACTAGCATTAGTTTCAGTGAAGCTTCATCTAGTAAAATAAAGTAAATAGAAACCCATTCTGGTTAATTCCACTTAATTGTGATTGATGCAGCCCTACAAATGAACGGGGTTAGAATAAACAATTTTTCAACAAATAATCCTAATTTCAGCGAACCATTACAATTATTCTACCCACTACAAGAAACATTTCAAGGAAATTATTCATTATTAAATGAAGAACTGGTACTTGGTGGTTTTGTGTTCGATATTTATGGACACAAATATATAACAATTAAGGTACAGTTAAGTGTTCAATGGAGCGTGTACAAAAATCGAATCAGAGTGCATTTTTCTAGATACCAAGAATATATCTTAATCATCAAGATATCCAGCAGTATATAGAAATTTCACAAGTTTCTCCATCACAAAGTATAACCGAATCATCAATTATTGGTTACATACCTGTCATAAAGCCTATATTGAACAACATAATACAGTAAAGTTACTAACTGCTGTAAAATAAACATGATATTTTTCTTTATACTTCTAGATTTCCGGTGGAGTTGACCAAAAAGATACCATTACAAGATACATACCTACCAATAGAATCCTGTGAATTTGATTTAAGCGTACCATTGGGTAAATAGTTCTTTTGCGCTGTTATACTCATAGTCTGAGGAGAAGCGTCCAAACCTTGAGTATACAGCTTGATTCTATTATTTATATCAATAACGTTTTCGCCAAGAAAAATCTGCAAACTTCCATTTCCAGTATGATGGAAGAGAAAGTTTTTGTCTGTCGATGTCTCAAACGCGTTCTTCACACAGCAAAGCTTGCTTTTCCATATTCAAGCCAAGTGGTACTAATAAGCGAAAATAAGTACTTAAGTATCGTGTACCATTGGGGTGCAGTTTGATCAAGAGGGGAAAAGCATACTTCTCGGTACTTCTCCGTACTTCCTGATACTTCTTCGTACTTTTTTGTACTTCTCCGTACTTCTGAAGTATGAAGTACGAATAGGGGAAAAGCGTATTTCGTACTTCGTACTTCAGAAGTACGGAGAAGTACAAAAAAGTACGAAGGAGTACAAAAAAGTACGAAGGAGTACGAAGAAGTACTGAGAAGTACCGAGAAGTACAGAAATATACTTTTTCCCCCTTGAGTTTGATGCGTTTTTGAATATCAAAAGGAGGCTTACCACTAAAATTAGATGTCTTTAACTTTTAAGCTCGTTTTATATAGGAGTAGTATACTGAAAATTTGGGAAGCTAATTCTGCCATTCGTTAAACTAATATGAGATGCCACATTAAATCAAGATAGACGATTCAAAAGACAAATGAACGGTCTCTCAGACTATGTTGAAATGAAAGTTTCTTAATGCCTTTTACTTCATGGCAGCATGGGAAAAATGATTAAAAAATCACAGACCCAAGGTGTAGATCTGAAACGTTTGAGATGACTTTATTTTTTTATTGACTATATTTCGTATACAAGGTACTTGGCACTTTTCATTACTATGCCTTCTTTGTAGCAACAGAACTCGATCAAAGAAATACTTTGACATTAAGTGACTCATATCCATTGGGAGAGAAATTCCAGTTATGTTTTCGTTTGTGTCATAAAATCAGTGATGAATTTGTTCCATACCAACAATCTGAAGTTCGATCGCACATCATTACAAATGGTATGTGAACTGTCTTAATAGTCTTGAATAGACATATTAGAATATATCTATGATCTTTTTTTTACAAGAAACAAACCAAAACTTGATGGAGGATGTCCAACCCAGTCATGACAGAGGAGTAGAAAGTAAGTAGAGGCACTAAGATTGTCATCGATTACACCTCATTTTAATTTACTTTTTCGAGAAACAAATGCTGATGTCGAAGTCGATGCTCGTCGATGTACTGAATGGGTTGATTCACAGATCCATCACAGTAAGTTATTTGGATCAGTACTAAAATCAATTGTTTTAAATAATTTTCTTCTTTCTAAGTTAATCCAGTGCATGTATGTGAAATGATAGTAAACCATAACGGATTAGAATTGGTTTATCCATTGAAATCAACATTTCGCTCACGTTACAAATCAGATTATTTTCATCCTTCAACCGATTCTGATTTGTCCATACCATATTATCAACCCAACCAATTGTTCGACTCTCCTTTTGTTAAAGATTGTAATGGGAATCCTTTCATATCTCTTCGTGTCTGTATATCTTTGTACTTACTGAGATTTACCTTCACCATAAGACGTATTTTTTCTCCTTCAGTTACCACAACCATTCAATGTTGAGTATACACATATTGAAGTTACTATAACCACTATACCAAGCTCAGATGGTCAAGTTTGGTATAGTCCATACAAATTTTTAATAAATGCAATGGTTTACTCTTCTGACGAAAATCCAATATACATTCCAATTGATAATTTGAAGGATGGTGTTATGAAGTATGTACATTAAAATAAACGCAGATATGTTCATTAAACTTTATTCTTTCTCGTTACTGTTTGTAATAGATTAGAGCTAATATTAGTTACTTTTGTCCATAAGGAGTTGAATGATATACAACTTAGACCATTTCCAATGCTACCAGATGAAAGATTCTGTAAGTATTTTCTAGTTTAAAGTGTACAACTATCGTTTATGTGTAATAATTGAATTCAGATGCTCCTCATAAAAGATTAAATCCAAAACAGTTAATTAAATCGTTTGAATTACAAAAATGTCGATTAGTGCTTCGCCTGTGGCGCAAAATTGGTGATAATATGGTTCCAGATCTAGATACAGGAATAATTTCAAATATTATAGAAGCAGTTCCACCTAAGAAAAGTAAGTGAATATGGAAAATAATCAGTAGGATATTAGAGATCTAGGCTTTTGCTTTCATGAAACGATTCTATATATCGCTCATACAGCGTCGTGAACTGTCTGCTCTGCAAGTTCGTACTAGAATCGCAAAAGCCATCTTGAGCGTCAAGATGATCATGCTTAATGAGTATAGATAGGATTCCTTTAATTTAATTTGACATGGCAATTTAATCTGAAAGAGAAGATTGCAGTCATACTGCTCTTTCCCATCATTGGCTCACGCACATTTTGTATTTTATTCAGAATCAAAACCAAATGAAAGTCTTCTGGCACATACAGAAAATCCGGTACAGTCAATTGTCACATCATTAGCAACGTGTAATTCAGGTGTCATGTCATCAGGTGAGCATTATATATGTTGATTCATCTCACTGGAATAGAGATAACCTCATTAAGAGATGTTTAAATTTTAACTTTAATTCTTTATCTTTGTATTATCATAAAAAAAGTAAGTTATTCATTAATTCAAGGACTGGGTGAGTTTGGAAAGTATTTTCCCAAATACTGGAACGAATCCATATTAAAATTCATTAATACACCAAATTTTCCTTTCGGTGTAGTAGAAGCGGTTCGAATCCAATCCGACTCGATCTTTTAGCCTATGGACTCATCTAGTCTTAATTTGTTTCATGTACTAAACTAATTTTGAGGTACGTGAAAAACAGGACCGAGTTTTCTAAAAAACTTATGAACAGTAATAGATTGAGACTTGAAACAAACACGAACAAATGCTCAGTTGAGTTTTCAATTAATTCTATAAATACAATGCTTTATTCATTTTCAGTTTTATCTGATGGCATCTCTACAGAAAGACCAAAAAGAGGGAAGAGTTTTCTTGAATCTTACAGAAATTCTCGCATTTTGTCTTCTCTAGGCTATCTTAGATCATTATCGTAGGTGGTTACTTGATGCAGGTCGTTGATTATTAAGATCCATTTGATCTAAAGAGTTAGTAGAATGAAGTCTCAGAAATAAAGAGCGCATAACTCTGCATTAGAAATCTACGAATATGTGCATTTCTGCAATCTGCTTTCTTTCGTTATGTTTTAGATAGTAGTGGAATGCAAAAACAAAATGCTCATTACATGATTGATCAATTATCATCTCAACAACTACCGGAACTGCTAAAATTTCTTCGAAAGTTGATGTTGGACGTTCCAAGTAGTCACATCACAAATGAAAGTGTACCTCCAGTCCACAGCAGTATAAAGTCGCTTTCCAACAAACGATCATTAAATGATGAACAGGAAAGGTAAAATACCTTTTATTAGCCTATGCACTCGATCAATTGATTGCCTTTTATTTAGGTGCCATCCAAAGTCAAAACGTTCATGCCAGTAAATGGTAATAAGCTGAACGGCCTCATCCGCGAAGTCACATGCGTAATTACCAATATCGTTACTAGTAATTTTTTTATTCTGTTACACTTTTACTATATGACTTTCTATTTTCCATCAGTAAAAATTATTTAACACTAATTATTAACTTATTCTTGTAATTGAGCAAGCAGTACCGTTCAGAGCCGAATTGATTCTTAGCAGCCTACTAGATTCTCATCAATCTGAGAAAAATCTTACTTAAGTTAGTTTATATCTTGATCAGATCTTCATCAGTAAAATTTTATAAAATTTTTGGGTCTCATGATCTACATAAGATTTTCCCCGACCTTAAGAAGATTCAACTAAATTCTTGAGTAGAGTGGTGAGAATGTATCACAAATAGGACAAATATAAGCTTACAGATACCAAGTACTTTACTTTTACCTATGCTTGTACTTGCGTACTTGTATTTGAAGTACTTTCCACGTACTTTTTCTTGAGCTGTCAGGATGTTCGAAAATCAAGTGAATGTAAATGGTTCGCACTCTTCAAATATTTACAGTTGTGAAAACATAGCATGATGATGTAGAAGAATATCAGATGTGTACAGTAGTATATGTTATAATGTTACCTTGGAACCCAAACTATATTGTACGCAAGCAATCTGAAGCATGCTTTAATGCTCTTTGACTACCTAAAACATTTGAAAGTACTTAAATACGAGTATCCAGTGTCCGGGGTGTATAGGACCGATATTTGGACTTAAAGCATATAGCATAGAGAACTTGCAATAAACAACTTTTGATTCAAACATTGTTCACAAATATAGGACTTTTTATCTTTTCTAGATAAATTTGCTGTAAAACCGGTAGAACAGGTTGTCATAATAAAATAAAAATAAGAGATTTACAAAATAAAAATAATGCACATACAGTTCATATACAAACCTTTTGCTATTAACTTGATCAATAGATACTACGTACTATCAACAAGATGATTTAAACTAAAAAAAAACGCTTCCTTGAATCTTAAAACGGTGAATTTACAGATAAAATATGACAGTGCAAAACATCAGCATCTATTCTAGAATTAACTAAGAACGTATTTAAAGTCTCTTTTACTATTTCGCTATGCATTATATTAATTAATAAGTTAGATCCAAGCAATGAGAAACATATAAGTTGAAAATTATGTAGAGTTTTGTCGATAGTGAATACATCCGCCTTCTAAAGTAAGATATCAAATCAGTGTATAAGTATCATCTAGTTTTCAATTGGAAAAAGTACTCAACGCCAATTTCATTTTGATTCACATAAGCTTTTGAACTGTTCCATTTATACATCTCGAGAAAGAAGAGAAAGCCTATAGACTCGACGTTAGATACGTCCAATTTGATAACAATATAAAATATCACAATCTTATTAATATTGTTTTATTTATCCATGTCATCAGACATAGGAAACATGATCAGATTAATACGCAAGTCTCTGTTTTAATAGCAAACATAATATATATCATATCTACATATTGTACTCAATATTTTTAATATACAAGAACAGATCAGTTAGTTCAAGCGCAACTCTGTCAAAATTCAGATCATGTTATCATTTTTCTATATATCATCTAAATTCTCAAATCTTATAAAATAATATTTTCACTTTGTAGAAAAGTCGAACAGTTAATCTCGCGTTCATTCGTTGATAAAGGTCAACATTTTATTTTATACATACCTCAATATTAGCATATTTTCATTCCTTCTGTAATTGGTTTGAGCTGATTCATGCCTAAAGACTATGCTATTTGATTACCTGTCAAACTATGAAATGATTGGTATTCTAAATAGAAGGTCAAATAAACAAATTTTTTTTCATCTATTTTCTTATGGCACATTTTACTCATAAGAAAATAAATAAGAAAATTGTTGACTGTGTATCCATCCTCTTTAGTGTAATACTATTACTTATCGTACTAGAAGTTAAAATTACTCAATGTGTTATTCATCAATTCTTTTTATCTTAATAACTTTCTCTCTGTTGATATTAACAAATCAAGTATCCCAAACTTTAAGAATTGGTTCATTCAATTTACGTCGCTATGGACCACAAAAATCGGACAACGCATATTCAAATCTATACATTACCAAAATTATCTTACGTTACGATATTATATTTTTAACCGAATTGAATGATCAAACAGGTAGTATAACAGCAAAATTACTAGAAAATGTAAATAAATTAATTACAAAAGAATCAGATAAATTTAATGTTATGTTATCGAATCAACTCGGTGATACATCATATAAAGAACGTTTTGCATATTTTTATCGTACTAATAATGTTCAATTCACTATTGTTAGTGATTATGTCTACGATGGTGGTAAAGGTCTATTTGAACGATCACCGTATATAATGAAAATACAAATTTCTCGATCTCGAACATTGACCTATTTAACATTTGTTGGTGTCCATTTAAAACCGGAAAATGTTTATTCAGAATTTAAAAATTTACGAAAAGTTGTTGACGAATTAGATTCGAAACGACAAAATAAACGATCAAAATTAAAAAAATTTTTACAAATGTTTAAGAAAAGAAACAATTCTAATACAACAATAACACCATTGATTATTATGGGTGATTTCAATGCAGATTGTTCCTATTTAAATAATCAAAAGAAAAAAGATATTAGAGAAAATTATTTTAATGATTTTACATGGTTAATCGATGACAAAATGGAAACGAATTTACTTGAAACATGTTCATATGATCGAATTTTAATTAAAGGTTCATCACTTGTTGCTAACGTTGTACAATATTCAAATCAAGTATTTGCATTTGACAAAGAATATGATTTAACAAAACAATTAGCATTGCAAGTCAGTGATCATTATCCAGTTGAATTTGAAATATTTTTAAAGAATTAATCAATCGTCTTATTTCTACAATCTCTTTTGACAATTTTAGTCTATATTTTCATTCGAGAAAATGTGAAATGGTAAATTAGTCGATTTATATGTATTATTGATTTGTCATTTAAATCAATTCCGTTGAGTTTTGTCATTAATTAATCTTCAGAACTATGACGAACAGGTTGATGATTTATTTTCCAACGAAAGTACCACACTTGATGTTAGATGATATAATAAAAGTCGATAATTTAAATTCTCATTTCTCTCATTTCTAAACTATGAATTATGGAAATATTTTTTAATAGACTCTTCTTCAACCAATTATAATTACTTGATGTAATGAAAATTCTTCTAGGAAAAGTAGTGGGATATGGCAAAAATTGAAGAGTAGAGTGTTGCTTTTAAGCAAAATTCATTTTCGAGATAAGCACATTGTCTTGTAGTTAAAAGGAAATACTTTCAGAATGCATATAGTTTTTATGTGTATGGACGCATTTTGAGAGAATCTGAAAAACTTTTCAGAGAGTTTGCAAGGTCAACTTAAACAAAGTATAAGCTTCTTTCACGTTTTTCTCCAAATGTCGTTTTCATTTGGTAAGATACATTTTTGTCACTACTCAGCGAAATTTGATGGGTTTCTGATCGAAAGCTGAAACTTTATTCTTTATGTTTTGCTTCATGTGTTTGCTTTATGTGATTCTTGAATTTCACTTCTATTATTCCAAGAAAATATTAAAAGCTTTCAGTTAGTTCGATATTTTGCAATCATTTGGAGACACAAAACTAATATAAGAGGACTGATGTCAGAATACTGAATCAGTTAGTGTTGGAATATTTGGAAGATAAATTCTATATACAAACTCATACTCCGTCGTCATATCAAACGTCAGTTCATGATTACATTGAAGCTTAACTGGAATGTTTGTTGTTATATGTAGTCGATGACAGACAAATGTAAATTTAAATATTTTTAAACTTTTCCATCGACGATAGTGCAATAAACTACCACTATAAATTGTGATATGGACTTCATATCAGAAACCGGTTTTTAAAATAAATTAAAAATTTAATTAAGTGTGGTAGTTTTGCATTTAAATTGTTACGAGGTACAATAAAACCTCACACGCAAAAATGTTGAAATTTGAATAAATTAACCAGTACAAATACGGAATTCAATTACCATGAATACAAGGGATGCAGTTATACACCTGAGAGACGATTTAACAACAAATTGTATTAGCCAAAGTGAAGAAATAACGCATCCAGTAGAGATTTTCACTGAAAAGAAATTATGCATTTGATATTTAGCGCTGTGGGATCGACATCCCAGTCTATATGAGATCAATAGGCATCAAGAGACAGCTTTTTGCCATTCAACCTTAGAGAAGAAATTGAGGAGTGGAAAAAGAAGTTTTTCTCGTAACGAGCTGTTAACAACGTCTGATGAGAGATGCATAATTATCGAATATAGACATTGTTTTGAAGGATCGAGAAAAAAGTACCAACAATTACATTTATCTCTCAAAATACTAGATCTTTCTTTTCTATGTCTGAGCAGAAAACGACAAGCAATTTAATCTAAAGCAAATATACTTGTCCATTTCACTTATGTACCCATTTCCCATTTTCGTTGCAAATTTTATCACACGTGGGAAGAAGCGTTTGAGAATACACCACTCAACAATGTCATCCTCATTTTTGTCAACGGCTTATCTGAGTGCCTAACGCAAAGGCAAATTCGAAAAAATCTTCACTCATTGCTATTCATCAGAATCATCAAACTTTTCAAATTGCTGTTTGCACAATAAACGAGCACCTACATTTCATGCACTTAGAGTAGGGTGGGGTAATTAGAACAGCGTTTTTTTAAAATTCCGTATTTTCATTCTTCCTCAGTTAGCTTAAGAAATTTTTGTCTAGTTCCTTGGCAAGAGTTGTAGAGGAGATATTTTTCTGTCGAACGGTAGTTTTCGCTTTTCTAATTTCCATTACCTTCAGGATCGCCCGCTAAAAGAGACAATTGTGCATAATTTAAGGCATCAACTAATTATAACTTAAAATCCGAATAGAAAATGAGAAACGTTTTTATAGGTAAATGTTTTGCACGGACTGTTCTAAGTCCCTGCATGTGGAGAATTAGAACAGTCGAGACGAGTTAATCGCAGATATGCTCCTGATTCTGAAGGAAATGGAACTTAGAAAAGTGAAAACGACCATGCGACAGAAAAATATCTCCGCTAGAGAACGTACTTGTGCCCAAGTACTTGGACAAGTACTCGGCTTGCGTAATGAAGCCGGTACTTGTCTTTTTTCCGAAGTAAATTTACTTGTAAGTACTTGTCCAACGTGCAAATACTTGACTTTTCACTTGAAAAGTCCTTGTTCAAGCGCTTGTCAAGTAAAATTGCAAGTACTTGGATTGTTTTCAAGGAATATTATTCGAGTGTTTCTCTATTATCGCTTAATATTCACTTGTGTGAACTTATATTATTCTATGTCTGAAATCCACAAAGAAAACATGTTTTCCTAAGCATAGGTATAGTATTCATATAAATAGATAGTGGCGAGTGGTCCTAACCTGTCTTATCTAAACAACTGCTGATTTTAACCCTATTTTTAGTTAAAAAAAGAGTATTTATAAGTGGTAAATTAGTAAAACTGACATCTAAGACAAAAAGAGATTATACACAAGGCACTTATTTCTGGAAGTGGTGTGAAGACCACTTTTATATTCGAACTTTTTGCAGTTTACTTCTGCTTTTTAATTTTCCTAAAGCAGAATTTAAGCATATGTTCCTGAAGAGAAAACCGGGTAAAACATGGTGAAATCCGTGTGTCAATTACCTTAAGAAACACTTTATTTTGAGAGATCTCGTATCAGAAGTTTTTCTTTTTCACTCTTTCTTTATATAAAAATCTCTACAGAAGAGTTCAACGACGTCAAGATAAATTGTTTGATATATTTCAAAATATAAAGTGTTTGATTAACTCTTTTTTAAAAAATCCTTTTGATTTTTTTGTTCAAACTGGAAAACTCTTCGCTACTTGAAAAACCAAAAATGATGTTTCCCTAAACCAAATGTGCTTAGGAAAAAACTCTTCTGATTTTTAGCAAAGCTAGAAAACCCTTGGACTCTTTCTAAAAAAGCCCTTTTGGTTTTCAAATACGTTTTTTTCGGTTTAGGATGATAAAAAGGCCCCTACTTGTCAAGGACTTTCCCGAAGTGCTTAATAGCAATAAAAGCAAGTATTTTTATCATTGAGAAGTACTTCTGAAAGTGCATGGCAAGTGAGAAATTTTGAAAACACTTGCCAATTTTTCCAAGTACTTAACAAGTAATCAAGTACGTTCTCTAGGGTCTTCTACAACTCTTGCCAAGGAACTAGACAAAAATTTCTTAAGCTAACTGAGGGAGAATGAAAATACGGAGTTTTAAAAAAACACTGTTCTAATTACCCTACCCTAGTATAGATGGTTTATACCTACAATTATAGAAAGAAAGCGAATCAATTTTCGTTTTATTTTGTATGACGTCACTTCCGTCACTTACCGGTGCATAAGAGATACCATTTTTTCTTCTTTCTGTTTTGTTTCAATATAAAGTCTCATTGTCATTTTACTTTTCATCCTCGCTGTGCAAATAAACGAAACACTAATGGATACATGTTCATTTTCATATATTAGTAAGGACGATCTATTATTGAAACGGACAACGGGTGTAGAAAGAGCATGGGATCATTTGAAAATTCAATTTAATCGCCATGGTCCCAAACCCGATGATGTCGGAGTAAGGTTTTTTGAAACGATAAGTAGAGATGGACCACAATTATTTGCTGTTACATTACAAGGCAATCATTTAAAATGCCCAACTGTAAAGTACCACCCCTCTCCTTATAATTTCAGCTAATTTTTTTCGGACAGCCGAAATACATGCTCCTTTGGATAAACGTGTTTACTATCACGATAATGGTAGATGGCAAGGTTATCGAACAGCTAAAGATGTTGAATTTGGAACAATGCAATCGTCCAATTTTAATCCAGGACGAGAATCTGCAATTGAACATCACGATGTAGAATTAGATCCATTATCGGTTGAAGAGGAAGATGATTCATTTAACACAGCACATACAACATCACAAAATTAACAGAATTTTTTCAACTTCTTGCCTGTCTCTCCCGCTATTTATTAAAATTTCATTTCTATGAAAACAACTCATTTAAATAGAATAAAATATACTACACGGGGTGTCGCTTTGTGTTTTAGCCTCATGGTGTTATCAAGGTTGTTACAGTAACTTTTTTCGATTTCTCAGATTATTTTATCAAAGAGTCTAAGTGATGTATTTACGAGAAACGATCATCAAGCGACAAACTGTTTTTTTGCTTAAAATTCATGCGGTTATAGTAAATCGGTAGGTATTTTTGCAGCCCTTGCCGAGTTGTGTAGGCATTCGTATGTTTTTCTAAAACAAAAATGCTGTTTTGAGGCAGAAGAGCGACAAAGTCGATTTTTATTCAAATTATCGCATAGGAATACTGCATTTACATTTTTTCTAAAGATTTTAAAAATTTTCTGAATAAATCAGACGATAGAGCTCAAAAAGTTGTACCTCTAGCATAATTTTCAAGGTTATAACTTTAAAGCTCATTGTTTGACAGAAAAGCAAACATTGACCCAAAATGGCATTCCCATGCATTGTTGTAATCACTATAAAACGGTGAAAAAGTAAAGAAATACTACCTCATTTTTACTTAGAATGAAGCCTAGACAATGTCGATTCTAATGGAGAAAGAATCAGGTCGATAACTACTTTGGTTTTCGTTTTGTATCGCTCTGAAGAAACTCGTGGTTAATATCCAGTTTTTACCATGATTTTCTGCAAAACTGTTCGTCAGATGTTCATCAGATTTATTTCCTGAAGACGTCTCATTTAGTATTATTAGTACTGAAAAATTGAGCTCTGCCGTTATTGTACAATCTGAGATTTCTTTTTTTGTGATTAAATTAAATGAAGCGTTACAGTTCCAAGCTTGGAACCGTAACGCTTCATTTAATGCCCAAGCACAGTGGGCATTCAGGTGGAAATTTAGAAAAAAACAATGAGTTTGCTTTTTCGTAATTTAAATAGCGTTTCATATACTTCGAGTGACGGCCGATTTAATGGCGAAAGAATTTTTATTCTACGACTTTTCCTTCTATAAAAGATTTGAAATGCAAAAACACCATGTAAATGCGCTATTTTTTCGGAAAATTTCG